TGTGTACTGCATTTGGGGGGGGGTCTCTTCTGCGGGGGGGGACTGCACTGCTCCCTGGGGGCCCTTGAGGGCCAATCTCACCCTGCCAAAATGGCGGCTGCCGCAAGAGTTGCCACCAGCTGCGGGGTAATGTTGGCAAAAGGCACGGGGATTTTGCCAGGACAGGAGGCGTGTGTGGACAGCCGCTTGTTTTGTTGCTCAAGGGCAGCGCCGGGGGGGGGGGTTACTGTGACAGTGGAACCCCCCCCCCATATTGGCCATGGAAAGTGCCTGTGGCCCACTCCTGATCCACGGCTTCAGCTTAGGCAGCAAAGTGTCCTGGGGAAGCCTCGCGTGGTGTTTTGACTTCCCGAAAAGTCCCTGCAGGCAGCGTCCACCCAGGTACTTGCACTGACCTTCCCATCCTTGTTTCTCGCATTTTTCCCGTTTGCAGGGGAAATGGCAAGGTTGCGCCTTTCCTGCTAGTCTGCCTGGTCCGAGCTTTAATTTAACGCCCAATTTCTCTTCCCAAACAAGGCTGAGAAGAGAAGATGCTGAAAAAGTCTTCAGGGGGGGAAATCCAAAGTGGGAACCCTAAATCGGTCTTGTAAGAATGCCGCGTATGCAAAGAATGCCAGTGCGATGTGATGATAGGAGCACAGAAAGATGGCGGGGGTGGGGTGGAGGGGGGGGTCACTGGGTAACTGGAGGGGGAGACGCACAGCAGTAACAAAGGGGAAACAAAGACCTCTCTCATCGTGTGGGGTAGGGTCGCTTCCCAGTTCAGGTTATAAAGCTATTTTTAAATGTCCCCAGCAGTTCGGTTGAAAGCTGCCCATTCAGACCAATGGAGAAACCAGAGACGCCCATGTTGCTGGTGCTGAACACAACTGTATTCAAACACAGCACTCCCAGACACCCCACATTTGGGGGCAGGCACCAAGCTGGCCAATGAGATACACTCGGTGGACACGGGACGCTGGCTGACTCTGGCAGGAGAGAGGAGAGAAGGCCATGGCTGGAATTCAAAGAGTAACCCTCCGCACAGCAAAACGTGGTCGCAAGACCCCTGCTTGCTTGTGCGTGCATGTTGCATGCATGTGTGTATTTTCCCTCACTGCCTCTGCATGTACGCGCAGGCATATCTCTCTCTTCCCAAGGCGCCAAACCCTCTGCTCTCACCAGCAACCCACATGCTTGCATCGAGGTAGCAAGGGTTGCTTTCTTGGGGGAAAGTACTTCTTTCAAGAAAAGCTCAGATGTTGTGCGAGTTTCTCAGTCAGAGCTCCCAGATCAACAGGCAGCCCTTAAAGCACTGATTTTGGCCTTTGCTTTGGCCCTCTGGATGCAATAAGCAAATTCTTATCATGTCCTACTATAGAGCCCGGGAGACGTGGAGCACCCCGCCCCCCAAAACCCGCCCCTGTAAGATGGGCGCACAAAAGCCTCATTTTATAGGCAACGGATGTTTTAAAAGGAGAGGGCGTCACTACCGGCTTCTCCGCCCAGAGGCCTGTAATAAAGCCGGCCCATTCTGGAGGACCCCCCACCCCCACCCCAAACTGGGGACAAAGTGCTGGGGGTGGGTGTGCGGTGTGAATCCCGCCGTGCACAAAAGGCCTATTGAAGGACTGCCCCCGGCAGCCGAACGTGGGAAAGGTCATGGCTGGGAGTGCCAGGCCTCTGGGCACTGTGCAGAGGGGCCCTCGACATGCTCAGAGGAGGCATGCCCGTGCAGAGCTGCCAACTTTCCCCTGCCCCGTGCCTCTTTGGGGCTGTGCAGGCGGTGTCCCACGGGCCTCACCGTGCGCTCTTGAGCTCCCAGAAGCTTCTGTGATGCTCAGCAGTCGCATGGATCAGCTGCCTTTGAATGGCCAAAGAAGGGAGCATGCGAGGATGCCGCTTAGCCTAAAGTCTGCACCAGCTGTCTGTGCACATTTAGAAATGTTTATACTCAGAACGGAAAGAGGCTACACCTCCCTGTGGTTCAGAAGGACTCCGGCAGCCTTTCGTGGATGGGCAAGCATCTTGCTACGAGCAGGGCTTAAAGTAGAGGGTGTCTTCAGACAGAGGACTGTAAAAGGGGCCACCCCGCCCGGGTTGTGTGGCAGGGACACACAGGTTTCTTGGGCTGACGAATCCATGGGGACGTTGCTTCCTGAGCCGGCCACATCCGCGTGCTGAGTGTGAGGTCTGCGCTGAGCAGCACACACTGCTCCAGAAACCCGTGCGCGGGCGTTTACCTGGCCTGGGCAAAGCCCCGTTTCCCGGCCTCCGTTTGCGGGCTGAGATGGGAGCAGCGGCAGCCAGCTTTCTCCTGGGGCTGTTCCTTTCCCGTGACCGAGCTGGACATGACCCCCCACCCAACTTTTCCCCTTGTTGCAGTGCCTGCCTCTACCATGTGTGAGATGGGGCTGGTCTCCCCAGAGCTGTCCAGCCAGACGCCGTACTACGGGGAGCCGCCGGACGCCTATTGCCACGATGACCGGTGGCAGAGGCTGCGCACGGCTGTGAGGAAGCTGGAATTCTGGGAGAACTTCGACGCTGAATTGATCGGCAGCGGGTTCTTCTCCAAAGTCTTCAAGGTACGGTGCCCGGGCACGGCTGGAGCTGCTTGTCATGAAATGCGGCCCTGAACCCGCTTCCCTTAATGCCTGGTGGTGTTTTGAGCAGCATCCCTGCGGGTCTTCCGGGTGGTCTTTGGGCTCCTAATGAAAGCGTGAGAGTCTTTGGGGTCAAAAAAGGTTGCCTGCCCCGGCACAGAAAATTCCGGATGAGGTGGATTGATGGCTTGGTTCATTGTATGTTCCTGTTTAAATCAGCTTTTTCAGTGGCAGTGCAGTTTATTTTACTTATTTATCTGATTCAAATTCAAATCCCAGCATTGTTCTGAAAACAAACTCAGGGTGGCTTATATCATTCTCTTCCTCCTGCTTCCAATCTTATCTTCACAACAACAGCCCTGCGAGGTAGGTTGGGTTGAGAGTCTGCGCCTGGCCCCACGTCACCCAGAAGGCTTCAGGTTCCAACTCCGGCATCTCCAGGGAGGGCTGTGCCTGAAATCCTGGAGAGACACTTTCCGGTCCATTCCAGGAAAGTGTTAGTCCAACAAGGAATTGTTGGCCCCACCCTGGACCCCTCCCTGACTTCTCTGGAGTGGTCTCTCCCCCACCACCTGATTAACTTTTAAATGTCGCATCCCTGCCAGTCAACATTTTGCAGAGTAGGAGGAAGACGTCTGCAGTGGTCGGGGAAGCCTGTTCGTCGCCGCACCCCGCCCTTCCTTCAGGCGGCCATCCAGGAAAACTTTCCTCCCTGGCCCTCTTCTGACCCAAGGAGGGATCCGCCTCAGCTCCGGACAGCCCTCCTTTGTGCCGTGTGCTCCCCAGAGCGTCGGCATTTTGCTGGGGGGCTTCAGCCCGGCTCCTCTTGAGCACGCCTTTGCCATCGCTTCCGCCCCCCCCCACCCGCTTGGGTGGAGACGTGCACCGGGCCCCCGGCCTGCCGTTGCCATTCAGCCCTGGCAGCCTCTGGCCCAGGCCCTGGCTCACGGACAACACCCGAAGGGGAGTTCTTCTTCTTTTGCTGCAGCAGCAACTCTTGTCCAAAGAGCTCTGCGTGTTTTAAAGAAGGGCTTACGCTGCAGTCTGGGAGCCAAGCTGCCTGGGGACTGGAGCGCAGCCCGCAGCCCTGATGTGGTGAACTCATGCGTCTGAGCCGCTTCGCCCCTCACACAGCTCCACCTGGGTTCCTTGCTACTCTGCACTTGCAGGAATGGGTTGCATTCCATGTCCCAAGCGGGGTGCAGCGCCTTAGGCCCCCGGGCTAGAACCCGCCTGCCAGGGGTCCATGCCCCATCGGTTGGCGGTGTCCTGGCTCTTGCAATTCCCTTCCCTTCCATTCTGAAGGATTGGATCGTGGGGAGGAGGTGGGGAATGAAGAAGTGCATGTCCAGCCTCTGGACGTGGAGGATGGAGGCTCTGCAGAAATGCGGCAGTGACTCATCTGGACTGCCATTTGGAAAAGTCACTTGGCAATTCTGCGGCCATTAGGAGGGGGCTAATGGCCGTTTGATGCAGCAGCCCAGACAGCAGGAGTCCACCCTCCATCTTGCTGCCGGGTGCGGGAGGGAGGCAGCCGGCCCAGTGGTCACTCGCGGGCAGGACGAGGCAGCTCTGAAGGTCATCCTCGCTGCCGGAGCACTAAATAGGGCTGTCCATCAATGGAAAGGCATCCAGCCAAGTGCCCGGGGCTTCTTCGGAGGGATCCACTGGAAACCGGCATATTTAGACCTTTTTTCCTTTAACTCGCAGCTTAATACGCACATTCTAAGCTGCCTTCCCTGCACTGGGAGCATCTGAGCTCAGACAAAAGTACATTTACACACAACATTTCAAACGGATTTAAAATCCACAACACCAGTCAATCAATTTTAGCTGTAGTTGATTAACCTAATGGGTCAACTGACTGCAGCACAAAAGGTGACAGCGATTTCATTATTGGAAGGAAAAAAAACCCCACTCTCCATGGAGCTCATAAGCTGCGTCACATCCCTTGTTTCGGGACCTTCGGCAGAGGAGGACTGCAGGCGGTTTATGTTCAGGGCAACTCTCCAGCTTCGTTCAAGCCTCTTTTATCATTTGGAGTGAGCTGCTCTGATACGGAGAGGAACACTTAAACAAAAGGCCTCCTTTTGTTCCGATAGCTCGATCGAATGATTTCACCGTACCGGTTTATCTCGGTTCACCTAGAAGTGGCTGGGCTGAACCAGAGCGGCCAAGGAGAGGGTGTCCTTTTAGAACATTTGTGGACCCCTTTGCTGTTTGCTGAGCTTCTGTGCCGTACCGAGAAGTGGGGGAAGCGGGGCGTTCACTCCCTCAAGAGGCCGCGATGGGACTGGGCGCATTCCCGGAGAAGGAGAGCACCACCTGTGGCGGCTGCCGCGGGCTCCACGCTGCCTCCGCGGCTGAAGACGGGGCTCTTTCGCGCTCCAGCTGGGGGGAAGGTGGGCGGAGAGGTGTCGCCCCGTCCTGCTTGTGGGCTCCCTGCGGTGTGGACGGCAGAAAACTGGGCGAGGTGGGCCCCCTTGGTCTGATCCAGCGGGTCCTTCTCACAGGCACTTTGCAACTGGCCCCGAATGGCCCGGGCGTTTGGCTCCTCTGGCCTGCCCCCTCCCTGCAGGTCAGCCTGGCCTGCTGGAGCCCCTTGCAAGGGGGTGCGAAAGCAGAGGGCCTTGTCTCAACCAGGCTTCCGCTGGCTCTCTTGCAGGTGGTTCAAAGTGCTGGCGGCAAAGCGATGGTGGTGAAAATTTACAAGAACGACGCGGACCAGGAGGGGATTGTGCGTGAGATCAGCTTGCTGCAGAAGCTCTCCCACCCCAACATTGTCCGGTAGGTCTCTGGATGGAAGGGGGAGATGGGCTAGACTGGTCTGCCGATGCCAAACCCTATGAAGGAAGAGGTCTTTGCAGGGGGACGCGGTTCAGACAGTGTGACAACCCCCAGTCAAGTGCAAGCTGTCGTTTCACCATGGGCCACGGTTCACAAACCATGGCTTGTCTGTGCAGGGGAGTTCAGACAACGCAACCACCCACGGTTAAACAGCAGCCCACACTCAGCCCTTGAGCACAGATTATCCGCTTGCCTGAGCCCAATCCATCCCACGCTTCCTTTGCCAAAAGACACCGAAGCGTCCTTCCCCCATCCCTCGGGTCCTTGTGCTCAGATAAATTAAAGTGGCGTGGAGAAAGAGCCTCTCGTGGAAGCACACGCTCTGCTTTTGTTCCCTGTGCATTTTAAATGCTAGTCACTGTCTCGATGGCTTTTGAGCAAATAAATGTTAATAATAAAGACAAAGTCTGCCAGAAGCAACCTTCTGGGGCCCCTTGCGAGGCGTTCCTCTTCTTGCACTTGCTTTTCAATTGCTTCTTTTATTGATGTTTTTGTTGATTGTCATTTTTCTGAGTTGTATCACTGCTTTAATGGTTTAATTACATGGGTGCTTTTGTGAGAATTACATCACGCTTCCCTGAATGCCAACTGTGGCAGAAAGATGAAATACATTTGAGTGTTAGAAATAGCCTTCAGTCTCCTAACCTGCCATCCGAGTTCTTTTTCCTTCGTTCTTTTTCTCTTCTTGTTTCCCTCTCAAAGGGCCAAAAAAGCACCCGCCCACCCACCACAACACGCACTTGCCTCCCAACCTGCGCAAAGAGATTTCTCTCTCTCAGACACACACATGTGAACAATGCTTTGCAATTCCGCCTGTCGGGCTTTCCCCAGCCCCGGTCTGTGGCAACCTGGGATATTTTTCCTCTGGTGGAAAATACAGAAGGGCAAGCGTCAGCTGCAAGCGTATAACACGAACCCAACTCTCGACACTCTGCCATTTCAGTAGCGCTCACTTTTCCTCCTGCCTAGCCTGTGAAAATGTTGCCCTTTTTGCCACCCCAGTGGTATCACTTTGCCTGGAGGAGGGTCTGAGTTGTGGCACTCAGCTCAGGGTGCCATCCTGCACATGCCTCGGGAAGAGTGACCCTCAGCGCCAGGCAGGCCGGCTGGGGCGTGCTGGGAGGCACGGGCCCCCTTCCCAGCGGAACATGCCGGGGTCTGCACCCAGAATGCAGTCTGTGCCTGAAGGTTCGCCAGGATCTTCCTGGAAGGCTTCTGTGATCTTTCTGGGGGGAAAACAAAACAAAAACCAAGCGGGGAATCTCAGCGGCCTGCGAGTGCCAGAGGGTCGCTTTTCTGCCCGCGCCAGCTTTGCGCTGCAGATGCCCATCTCGTTCCGCTCAGTGCTTCTAAAGCGTTTGTCTTTTCCAAGGTACCTCGGGATCTGCGTGAAGGATGACAAGCTCTACCCAATTCTGGAGGTAAGGCACGTTTCCCCCGTGCAGGCGGGGAGTTGTTCGCCTGTGGCTTTTTTGGAACGAAGGAACCCTCTGTCCCCGGATCGCACGCAGGCAGGCAGAGTGAGGGACCATCTCCCAGGCCCGTCCTGGGCTGGCGCTCTTGGTGGGATGGGGGTTTCTGGCCCCTCTCGAACAGAAGGCTGGCCCCCACCTTCCTTCCTCTGACTGACAGTACGTCAACGGAGGCTGCCTGGAAGAGCTGTTGGCATGCAAAGACATCGCCCTCAGCTGGAAGGAGAAGGTCGACCTGGCTTCGGACATCAGCCGAGGGATGGTCTATCTGCACTCCAAAAATATCTACCACCGGGACCTCAACTCAAAGGTAGGCAGGGGCGGGGAGTGTTGCCCCTCGTAGCCTGTGGGGGGCTCCCCAGGGGGCACGGACTGGGCCATGACTGAGGACGGGTGCCGGGCACAGTGGGCCGTCGGTCTGGCAGAGCGGTTCCTTGCGCTCTCCGGGGGGCTTGCACACGCATCCCGCATGGCGTATGGAAGGCGGGCTGATGGGGGGCAGGTCCGGAAACGTCCCCAGCGGCCACCCGCGTCCCCGGCCGCGTAACGGGGTCATCGCCAAAGCCACTTAGGAGCGGCAGCCGGCTGCTAATGCCGTTGACGCCTAATGGGATTGCAGCCGCTGCGTTCCGTGTGCGTCCGCAGAGGCCTCCGAACACGTGGGGAAGCCAGCGGGTGCGGGGGAGGCCCTTGGGGGAGCGGAGCTCGGGCTCGCTGCACGGCAACAGATCCACCGGGGGCACGAGAAATAGCCCGCTTGTGTGAGGAATGCTTCACGGAAGCAGCCTTCCATAGTCTGCGTGGACCGGAGAACGGGAAAGGGCTGCGACCCTGCCTGCCGCAGCTCCCTTGGGGAGCTCAGCCACAGGATGCCGGCTCAGTGACTGATTTCAGTGGCTTAGACACGCCAGTGGAGGAGGAGGAGGGCAAAGAGGTTCTGGTCAGCGGCGGCCTCTACGCTTGCGCCCAGCGGGTCTCGCACTCGGGTCGGGGTGTGGGGCTACGGGAGACGGGCAGCAGTGCCTTCATCCCCTGCTTCTGGGTTGCTGCCGGCCGGCCGGCCACTGGGTGGATGGGGAACCTGGCCTGGACTGCTCGGTGGCCAGGCCCCTCGGGGCCCCCTTGTTTTCTTGTGAGGGGGTGCGGATGCTCCTCTGCATCGGGCCTCAGCACTGACCCACGATGGTGGTTTGGGGGCTGCAGGCCAAAAGGTGCAGCTGCCTGTCTGCCCTGCAGTCAAAGGGCCTGATCCAGCGAACCCATCCAGACAGCGTCTGCCCCGAAGTCTGCACTTGAGCAGAGGGGCTCTCTGAGGCACCTGCCGATTCTGATCCCAACTGCAGAATCCTCAGGCTGGCCCCAGATCCAGGGGGTCGTGCATTGCACATGTCCGTACGGCAAGGGTGGGTGGATCCGTCAGCCTCTGCCAGGCAGAATTCATCATTTTTCAAAAAGTCAAGTGCCTTCTGGCCCGGTTCTGCACAAGTTCCTGATTAAAGGGGAAAAGTCTGTGGAAACCGGTCCTTTCGGAGCACATGCTTCCCCCAGTACATCTATTTTTCGTCCGCACTTTTCTCAAATGTGGAAAGGTTTGGGAGAGAGGAGGCGGCAGAGCCATTTCCAAAGCGTGTCGCTGGAGTGCCTTGCTCGCCCGCCCGCACAAGAGCCACCCCAGCGAACGCCTGTCTCGCCGCTGCCTTTCAGAACTGCCTCATCCGAGTGACGCAGCGGGGGCGGGAAGCCCTGGTGGCGGACTTCGGCCTGGCCAAGGAGGTGCTGGAGCTTCCGGCCAAGGACCCCGGGAGGAAGCTGTCGCTGGTGGGGTCCGCTTTCTGGATGGCCCCTGAGATGCTGCGGGGGGAGCCGTACGACCGGAAGGTACCTCGCCCCTTCCGCCTGCTGTTCTGCGGTCCCGGCTGGCTCCGTGGGGCCCCTCGCAGAGGCCTTTCTCGATCCCCTCGGCGGGGGGTGCCTTTCCGCTTCTGTGTCGAGCACATCCTCTGCCCCCAGACACCAGCCCCTCCTGGGTGGGCTTGGACCTGCGGCTTCGAATCCCGGCAGAGCTGGGCACAAGCACCTCAGAGTCCAGCAGAGCTTCCCTGGATTCTGCTGGGGCTTGGCTGTGTTTTTCCGTGGGCGCTTGTGTCCCCCGCACCACCCAAGCCGTCTTGATTCTCTCACCAGCTGACAGGTGCAGGTGCAGAACAAAAACCTGCTTGGCCCAAGGTGTAGGATTTCAGGTTCCCAGCTGCAGTCCCTTTGTCCCTTCCCGCTTCATTGTGTGCACCTGGGTGTTCCTGTCCCCCATCTCTTCCCACCTGGGCCCAGAGCTGCCCTCACCCCTCTCTGCCCCCTGGCTAAATTTTGCCTCCTCCAACAGGTGGACGTCTTCTCCTTTGGCATCGTCCTATGTGAGATCCTGGGAAGGATTCCAGCCGATCCCGAGGTGCTGCCCCGGACCCAGGTGACTCTGGTGCTGGCCCCCTCTTGCCCTCGGCCTGGTTCGCCCCCAGCCCGGCAGCGCCATCTGTGAAGATGTGGCATCCGTTTGCCCGGCTTTAAGGCAGCGTTAAGGGTTGGGGTTTCTGTTGCTTAAAGGGCCCCACTCAAGAGTTGCCGCTTCACCCCCAAGTTAAGCTAAGCTGCGGCCACAAGAGCGAAGCAAGTCGAACTCTTCTGCCCCTTCCCTCCCACCTTCAGGATTATGGCCTGGACGTGGCTGCCTTCCAAGACATGATCGGCGGATGCCCCACGCACGTCCTGGACCTCGCGGCCAGCTGCTGTCGAGTAAGGGTTTGTCGATGCTTTCGAGCGCCCGATGGACACGCGCGCTCGCGTGGGGTGAGGGTCGGGTCGGACTGGGATCCTGGCCAGCGCCAGCGGAGCTGCTGCTGTGGGGCCAAGCACCGGGCGCCCAGCAGCTGGACGGGGGCGGGCAGGGCAGGGGCTCCAGCCGTGATTTCCTCCCCCCGTTGTCTTCCCACTGTGGACAGGTGGAAGCGTTCAAGCGCCCGTCGTTCCCCGAGCTCCTGGAGGAACTGGAAGACATGGCCGAGCGGCTGGAGGCCACGACAGAGCACCAGGCCCCTGGCTGACGTGCCTGCCCGGGACGCGGCCTGCAAGAGTCCCTGTGCAGCTAAGAAGCGGTGGGTGAGTGGGGGGAGGAGGACCCCCCCGCGATGATTCCGAGGCTGCCTTGTCCCACTCACCCTGCACAGACGGACCCCACACGGACTGAGCGGGAGGGGGCACTGTCTCGCTCACCGGCCAGCCGCAGCCCCTGGCCATCCCATCAGCTCCAGTTTCTCACAGAGTGAGCAGAAGGTGCTGCAAGCATCGGGGGGGGGAATCCTCCCCCCTCCAACCCACGCAAAGGCCTTCGGGGTGTGGATTTAGACCGCTTCGGCCAGCGAGGCAAGCAGCAGAGGGAGGCTGGCGCACGGAGCCCCTCTGGGGCGCTTCTGGTGCTCTGTTAGTTTCCCCAAACAGCCACCTGCCCGCTCCTGCCAGACCCTGCTGGTGCTGCCCCCCGCATCCGGGGGCAGGCTCCCAGCAGACGCAGCTGGGCCAAGTCCTTGCGCCAAGCAGCCTGAAGGCAGGGCCTTGCGCGGGGCAGAAGGCTTCGGTTCAGGGTGAGGCTCCCTTGGCAGGGCTCCTGGGCGAGGCGTGGTCTGCGGCCGGCTAGAAGCAGCCTCTCTCCATGGAGAGGGGCCTCCCTCAGCCCGGGAGTAGTCCCCCCCCGCCCGGCTCCAGGGCACCCCGTAACAACGGGCCTCTGCCCTCCCACGGCCGCCAGGTCCCCCGCTGCCCCTCCGCTTCCCAGGCTGCTGCTGCGCTGGGGGTGACGTTTTTGCCTCCGGCGAGGCTGCAGAGCACCGGACGATGGGGCAGAGGGGCAGGGACGCTGGTTCTGCGGGAAGCTGCGTGGCTCTGGCGAAGCCGAGCTCCACCGCACACCACCTTCCTCCTCTCCTCCTGCCAGCAGCAGCCCGTCGGGAGAGGTCCCTGGCCAAGGGCAGGTCTCTCCAGTCAGCTGCGGCATCCGCGGCTCCCAGGTGCAGTTCCCTCCCTTTGAAAGCGCAGCCGCCCCGGGCAGGTGCAGCTCTGGCGGGTTTGCCAGTGACTGAAGCCCAAGCTAGTAGTGCAAGGGTCAGCGTGGACGCGAGCACCCCAAGCCCCATCACCCGCCTCCAGCAACGGGGCGTTCGGAGTCGGCATCGCCCGGGGGTGGGAACCTTGCGGTCCTCCGACGCTTTGGCCTGCAGCACCCACAAGCCCTGGCCGTTGGCTCTCTGGCTGGGGCTGCTGGGAGGGGCGGCCCAAACCGCGGGAGGGCCTGATGGGACCTCATCTGGCAGCAGGAGCCGCACGCTAAGGTGTGCCGGTAGCTTGGCCAGCCGCGTTTGCTCGGCCCCACGCAGCACGGACTCGCAGCCCCTGAGAGCTGCCCAGGGTGGAATTTGGGAGCCAGGCGGGAGACACATCCCCGGCCGTGCGCCCTCGGGACATGAGGACTGCAGCTCCCAGTGGGCCCACTAACCATACTGGTCGGAGAGGATCGTGGGGTGGGCCTTCTGACGGGAGGGCCGCCCCAGCGGCGGCTTTTCAAAAGGAATCTCAGAGTTTCATTCCAGCCGGCAGCGGCCGGCCTCCCCTGGGCTCCTTTTCAGGCTGGCCAAGCTCCCGTTCTCTGTTCTCTTCGGCCGTCCATATAAATCAGCATTTCCCAGATGGCCCTGAGAGAGCAGCCCTCTTCTCAAGCCCTCGGGCATCCCCCCGCAGCACCTTTGAAGAAAGGGCGCGGTGGTCCGGGGCGGGCGCAAGGCGAGGCCCGAGGTGGATGTGGGTGAGCGGAATTCTCGCTTCGGGTTTATCTGGCCCTGGGAAGGCAGCGGAGGGAAGGGCGCCTCTTGTGCAACCGGGAGAGACTCGCGTCAGGCCGTCACGGTGTCGCCACAGCCGAGCTGTTCCCGCTCGCCGCTGGCACTCGGCCAGTCCCTGCCATCCCGGCTTTGGCTGGCGGGAGCCGAGCGACATGTTCCCAACAGCGGCTCTCCTGGGATACTGGAACTCGGCAAGGGGCCCCTTCAGCAGCGTCCTTCCTGCTCTCCTTCAGGGCAGAGTTGCTCCACCGCTGGCTCTCCAGGGCTTGTCACTGGAAGAGGCACGGCCAGCTCACCTCCTTCCCGTCTCCAGGTGGCCCTAGGCCAGGGTGCCTTCGGCGGGGCCCCTCCTTGGCCAGCACTCCTGGTGGCGGTGGCAGCAGCAGTGTTGGCCGGGCAAGAACGGCTGCCATTTCAGTTCCCACAATGCCCCCAAACAACCCTGTGTCGGGGCATTGTGGGAGATGCATCTGTGACCGGTCCTTCCAGGCTGCTGGCTCAGAAACGCCCTGCTTGGCACGACGACAGTGGCCCGTGCTCGGTGTCCGCCCCTGGGCGAGTCAGCTTTCTCCTTGCTGTTGCTTCTCGTCCTCACCACCGGCTTCCTTGACAGGCTGAGGGCCAGTGAGCACGTGGGCCGCGGCAGCTCCCGTGCCTCCTCAGCCCTGCCACTGCGATGGTGGGGAGGCAGAGTGAGCCTGGGGGAGCGTGGCGGGGGGCTCCTGCTGGCTCCTGCGCTCGGCCGTGTGCACCCTTGATCTGGGTGGCCGACGGAACGTCGCTTCAGAAAGGCTGAGGCAGATGTTGGGGAGCAGGTGGCTGTCGGGGCGTCTCTGAGCAAGATTGGAAGAGGGCAGCGAGGGAGAGGGCGATCCTGGGGGTGGCCCCGCCCGGCACCCTCCTGTCCTCCTCTTAGCACCAGGGTGAGACTTCCCTCGACCCCCAGCTGCCTCCCGGTGTGGGAAGGGGCTTCTTAATTGCATTGCTCGATCGGGTCCTGGCATTTTGCTGTTCATTGTTCTTGGCTGTTTTAAATCGTTTTAAGTGTTTGTACGGTTTAATCCTTGTTGTAAAGATGCCTTGACTCCTTATTTTTGGAGAAACGTGAATTCTTACTGTCGTCGTCATGATCCTTCACGGTGCGGTGGGGGCTGATGTGCTGGGGCAAAGCTGTGCAGGCCAGCCTGGGTTCAGGCCCTCCCTCAGCCGTGCAGCTGGCCAGGCGACCTGGGGAGCAGCCAGCGTCTTCCGATTCAGCTGCCTTGCAGGGTGGCTGTGAAGAGAACATGGGGAGGGGAAGCCCGTGTTTCACAGAGCCGGATCTTAACGAGGAGAGAGATCTCGTCGGGAACTCGTCCTGCACCAAAGAGGGAACTCTAGAAGAGCCCCCCGTGCGCTGCAGAGCCGGTGGACCAGTCCCTCGTGCTCAGGCGGGCATCCGGGCAAGGCCTGGCAGCCTCCACTGCAGGCGCAGAGGCCCCAGGCAGGGCGCACCAGGGTGGCAGAGCAGAGAGGAGGTGGGGGACGCAGCCGAGGAGAGGTCCGGCGGCATGGCAAGGAGCTGGCGCCCGCCCCAGGAGGAGCCAAGAAGCCCCCGGAGGGGCCTTCGGAGGGCTGTCAGTGGATCCGAGCCATGAGAGGAGCGGATGACCTGGGCAGCGGGGTGGTGGGCAGGCAAGCGGAGAAAGGGAGGACCCCGGGGCACCGTGTCGGCAGGCGTGAAAACGCCCCCCAGAGCGAGTCAGCTGGAAGCGTGCGATCGAAAGAATGTTTCCCGCTGATTCAGACTTCCTGCCAAGAGAGAGACTGCGCAAGGCGCTTTTATAGCCTGTCAGGGATCACAGTACGTGCCATGCTAGAGGCACATCAGGGTAAAGCAAGGGATTTCAGGCACCGCAGAGGGAAGGACCTTCCGGACAGTGAAGCCGGCCGTTGGCCCCTCCCTCCAAAGGACAGGCCTTGCCGTGCGGGGAGCCGGCCTTTCGCAGGTGTGCTTGCGACATGGATCCCTGCTTGCAGCCGGACGCCACCTCGAGCCTGAGCCTGTGCAGGCCGCGTCAGGCCTTTGGCAACCGAGTGCGTGACTCAGTGCTTTCGCTCACTTTGTCCGGCCGACAACGAAGGCGTTCTCAGAGGCAAGCGAGGCCCCGCAGGGCCGAGACGGAGCAACCGCAGGGAAGGGAGGTGCACTCGAGGACAGGCACGGAGGGGGAGCCTTCCCCTCCCTCCTCTGGAGAGGCCCCAAGGCCAAGCCCGGCTCGGGCAAGCAGGAGCCGCTCTGCACGCAGGTCGTGGCGGGCCGTGGCAGAGAGCTGCATTCAGGGCGACGGGAAAGAGCGCTCCCAACTTCCCAGCAGTCGAGTCCAATTAATGATGGGAAAGGCTGGCCCATGCGCCAGAGCAGAAAGAAAGGCGCCTTTGCCGTTGCCACCCGGGGCCCTTCTGCGAGCTGCTGGAAGGCAACCCGCAGCTTTCCCCTTCATCGCCCCCATTGACGTTGCCGCCTCTTGGCTGCGGCACTTGCCTGCCCTTGCCCATGTGAAGCCGTGTGGCCCCAACGCGGCCGCCCCCGGAGCCAGGCCCCGCTGGCGGCCTACGCAGCTGGACCGTCGCCCGAGTAGCGGACACCCGCGGGGGCCTCCTCTGCGTCGCTCCAGCACCTTCGCTGGCCGGTCCCGCGCAAAGCTCAAAGGGGCTTTCGCCTTGAGGCCGCCGTGTCACTCACTGCGTGCGGCGCTGGAAGCCAGGCGCGGATCAGGCTGCTCGAGAGCTCTGCAAGCGGCCCGAGGACCCCGCTCCCTTTCGAGGCAGCCTGAGCCCAGCGGTGGGGAGGCCGGAGACGAACGGAGTGGCCGCAAAGAGCAGCGCCTTTTGGCTTAAAGCCCTTCCTGTGACCAGAGTACCCTTCAGGGGGCACTTCAACTGTTCGATCAGTGAAAAATGTCCGAAAGCCATGAAAAGCACCAAATGAAACAGACTGAGCTCAGGGGACAGGATGGTGCCGTTTGGGAAATCCCAGAGAAACATCTGGTTCCCAGACTTTCTGTTCCGCACCCCTGATGTGGCCAGGTGGGCCAACTGCTGAGCTGTTCTTCAGGGGCCTTCCAGACCATGCTGCCAGGCACCCCCGGACTTGAACCCAGACCCTCAGGTCCTTTGGCTCAGGCCTCGCTCAGAGTATGGGTGTGGAAAGGCCACCTCGTGTGACTGGCAGATAGTGGGAAACCCCTGGGTTGGCCAGAGGAGCACCGCCCAGTCCTACAGTGCTGAGGGAGACATACTGGGCCCTCACTGGGACACCCCCGAGGACAGAGGGTCCGATACGTGCGGTCGCCTGCACCTACATTTTGCTCCACCTAGGAGAGGTGGCTTCCAGGAGACCCCTGCAGGTAACAGCTGCTGCCAGATAGTCACGGCTCTGACCACAGTGGCCTGCAGCACCCCAGGAAAGATGGAGCAGAAGGCGAAGGGCCTTTGTGCCCTCCCGGGGGGAGCCCCGTTGTTTTCCCTGCCCTCCTCGCCACAGGATGTGGCCTCCTCCTCCCCCAAGATGAATCCCAAGAGCACCCCTCCTCCGCACTGTTGCAGAAGCCCAGAGATGCAGTGCAAGGCAAGTCCCTGCCTAACCCCCAAAACAGGCCGGCCCTCTCAGGGCAGCGGGGCCAATCCCAGCAGAGGCTTTGCCAGCCTACATGAGGCGTCGACTCTCTGCTGAGACGTCTCTCTCTAGTTGCAAGACCAGGGGATGCTCTGCCCAGCCGCCCTGTTCGGGTGTTTCCGCAGCAGTTCTTCACAGTGTAGGCCGTCCGCTGCAGAGGCAGGCTCTCGGGCAGCTCGAGACCTGAAGCAACTGGAAGCATCCAAGCCTCCCTTTTGAGGATTTGGGGTTGATCTAACCTGGCCTGTGGGATGCTCCTTCTGAGGAACCCGGACACTGCCCTGGGTCAAGCCAGAGCCATCTAGCTCAGTATTGCCGACTCAGGCGGGCAGCGGCAGCGCACCAGGATGTCAGGCGAGGGCCTTTCCTAGCTCCAGCTGCGGGTCCGACCTGGGACCCTCTGCAGACAAAGGATGAACTCAGCCCCTGAGCTATCCTCCTTTCCCTAAAAGCGAAGTAACATCCTAGCCCTTGGGATGATAAACCAGGGCCTGAATTACACGGAAACATGAGGCGCCGGCTTCCACCCAGTCAGCCCGAGCCCCTCCAGCCCAGTGTGGGCAGCACAGCCTGCAGGGTGTCGGGCAGGAGTGGGTCTTCTGCGGATCCGGATATGTGAGGCCCCGCGTCGGGACTTCCAACATGCACCGCAGAGGCCCAGCGCTACGGCCCCTCCTGTTTCCCTGGCGGATGCCTCAGAAGACGCGTGGCCCCGATTTCAGCCCTTCTCCACTCTGCCGCCTCTTATTTTAAAAAGTCAAGATGAAGAGTTCAAAGAACCGCCCGTTACGCAAGATTTGCTCCTCGAAGACGAGTGTTTGTGAAGAGGGCAGAGCACCGAAATGGCACAATTCTATTGACTCACCGGCATTTTTTCCACTTGAAAAAAAGGGGGAAGAAAAACGTCCCGGTGCATAAAAGTCCGTGATGGGAGAGCTGGTGGGAGAGACGCTTGGGGCACCGCGATGGGGAAGGGCAGGACGGTAGCCCACCTCTCCCTGCTCTGTCTGCTGGCGGGTGCTTGTGGGACGGCCCTGAACACCTGCCCAGGTGAGTGTAACCATGCCAGGTGGGCCCGCACAGCTTTTGGGATGTGCACTGCCATGAGATGGGGCACCTTTTCCAGCGAGCGGCAGATTGTGACTGCTTTCGACGTGCCTCTCCCAGTGCCGAGTTAACTTCCAGTCAGAGCTTTATGCTGGGGTTTGGAGTGCTCTAGACCTTTCCCTTTTGCCTTTGGCTGCCCCCCTTGTCTTTCCCCGCTGCCCAGAGTGCCTCCCATGAGAGCTGCAGCACAATCGAATTTGTCCCTCAGGCTGAACGGAATTCCCATCCATCAGCTAGGTTAAAAAAAGGAGAAGCTTGCTTTAAGAGGGAGATAAACTCTGAGTCTGAGTTGCAAAACTGAATTCAGGGTGGCCGGGTGAGGGGCTCCAGATGAGCCCTGCGCAGCTGCTCGCCCGCTCCTCCGCGGATGTGTGCCCTGCAGGACAACATGCCGCTTCCTGGGGCAGTTTGTGCGGGGCAGGCGGCCTGGCCTGGCCCGTTGTGGCTTCCTCGGGGCATCTTGGCAGCTTGCCGCAAGCCTGCCTGCATCTCGCCCCCCCCCCCCCCAAATGCAGAGAGCCCAGATCAGTCGCTCAGAAAGAGGAAGGGTCTGGGCACGTCTTGGCTTCCGGGATCCGTTAGCGCTGCTGCCCCGAAAAAGGTGCCGTGTTCAGGAGGGGAGCTGAAGGCCTCGAACCGAACTGCTCCGCCCGCCTCCCAGCAGGTGGCCGGGAAAGTGGCTTGCCTGTTTTGTCGCCATCGCTTTGGCCAGCTGTCCCCAACCCTTGGATGATGGAAGCTGAGGTCCAGCGCAACCAGAGGGTGCCAGGTTGGGGAGGGCTGTTTCAGGCGCATGTGAAAAATCGCCCCTTTGATAGAATCAAATGGGTTGCCTTCCCCTAACCTCAAAGGAGCTAGAAACTTGAGCAAGCGCATGCCTGCTGCGTTCAGCCAGTCGGTGTGCGTGGGGTCCTGTTACGTAGGAAATTTCAGACAAAATGGCACCTGCATTTCATGGGAGGGAGGGAGGGAGGGCCCCTTTCTGCCTGGCAGGCGCTGGCTCTTAATGTTGGGCCCCCGCTCCAAACCCCTTGTTCCTCCGCAGAGGTGCAGCTGGTGGGCCTGGGTGGCGAAGAGAAACTCACCATCCTGCGTGGATGTCCCGGCACCCCTGGCGCAGCAGGACCCCCGGGGACCCCAGGCATCCCCGGCGCCAGAGGTATGTACTTGACAAGATGCCTGGCTTGGAACGAGAGAGGTCCTGGGTCTCCAGCCCGATTTTGGGTGACTTTGCACCTGTGCCTTAGCTCCCCTGCAAGGGGGAAAAGGCGAGACCAACATGCGGTCTAATTATACTGAAGAACCCGAGTGCCTGTGGGTGGGGGGCGCCTCCAGCCCACCCAGCAGCTGCCGCCCTCTCAGCGTCTCCCCTTTCCCCCTCTTTTTATTTAGGTGAGAAAGGCCCCCAGGGCTTCCCTGGGAAAATGGGGTTTCCCGGGCAAAAAGGTAAGGTGGCGATGGTCACGTGAGGGGAGGGGCTGATGTGCAGGGCTGCCGGGACCCCCCTTGCCACGGACACGTTGGAATTCCCCGCTCCTGCTGCTGGGCGCCCACCCCCGGTGCCGCACGTGGCCCCCAAGGCGGGGTGCGGGTCCCTTTCGGAGAGACGAGACGGCTCTCGAAGTGCCCGTGGGAACCCTTCTGCCGGCCAGGCGCATCCTTTGCCCCGAGCTCTGTGGGCCCTTGAGCATCGGCTGCTCGCGTGGCTGGACTCTGCCCTTGGCCACCCAGTCCGGCGCCCTCTGTGTGGGGTGGGCACAGCCCCAGGGCTGGCCCCACACGGCTCACCTTACCAAATTGGGCCCCCGCCAGAAATCCGGCTTCAGAGGCCCTGGCTAATGCCCTCGCCTTCCTCCCTCTCCTCCTCTTCCTCTTCAAACCAGGAGACAAGGGTGACCGAGGGGCCCCCGGCATGAAAGGTAAGCAGACCGCTCCTGCGCGTCCCTCGGGCAACTCGCAGCTCCCTTGGGGCCCGTTGGCAAGTTTGGGGCTTCCCCGCAGAAGCCTGCGCCTCGCTCGGGAGCAGAGGAGAGCTCCTCCTGCCAGCTCCCCACTGGGGTCCCGGATCAGGGTTCTGGCCGGCGTCCCCCCACCCCGACCGCCAGCCCTTCGCGGGGTTTCCCCAGCCCACTCGAGAGTCGGTCCTTGGAGGGGGTTGTGCGCCTCGGCCAATGCTGGCTTTCCCCCAGGCCTGCCTCGGTTTCCCTCTTGCACGTGCGGCCCCCTTCCGGCTGCACAGCCCGGCGCTCGGCACCTGCGCACGAGACGCTGCCCGGGGAACGCTCCTTTTCACGGCTCTTTTTCCTAGGAGAAAAAGGCGACCCCGGAGCCCCAGGACCGGCGGGTAAGTGTGGAGAAGTTGTGTGTGCCCCCCCCCCTTCATGGTTGGACGCCAGGTGTCTGCGTGTGTGTAGGGGGCGCAGTCTGCCACACGGGTCGTGCGTAGCTTCAGCAAGCGTCCCTCCTCGGGGGCCTGAGCCAGGCTTCTGATTTGTGCCAAGTCCGGTGTAGTCCATGCTGGCCCTCCCAGCTGTTCTCTCTGCCCTGCTCGCCAGCTCCCATGGTGACTTTTCTGCAGGAGAGGAAGAGCTGACCAGCATCCTTTGCAAGAAAGGTGTTTTCTAGTGGCTCATCTGAGCCAGACCCTTCCCGGAACACGCCGTGGGGCCAGGAGTCGGCCCCGTTTGGCGCCAGCGTGCCTGCAGGCAGCTGCAGGGCCTGGACCCCCTGCCGGGCTGGATGCTGGTTGCTGCCCCTTCCTTCTCGCCCCTTACCTGGGAGTCTCGGTCCCAACCTGGTGTGCGAGGGGCCCAGTCCTGTCCCCAAGGCTGGGATTCTCTGGCGGCTTCAGAGCAAGGCAAAGTGCTGTGCCTTGGGCATGATCGAGGCTCAGAGACGGGCATCGTGGTTGCCGTCCTTGTCTGCCTAGGTGCACGGAACTGCAAGGAGCTCCTGGCCCAGCACGTGGTCCTGAGTGGCTGGTACACCATCTACCCCCAGAACCGCATGCCCCTGGCGGTGCTGTGCGACATGGACACGGACGGAGGCGGGTGGACTGTAAGTCACGCGTGTGGAAGACCTTCCTGTGGGCAGAGGAGGCCTTGCGCCGCCCCTCTTGGGGCCGGTCGGGGCGATGCTGCACTGCTTCGCTTGCTCAAAACCTTCCGTGCCCACCCCCTAGAGAGGGTTTAGGGTTGCAGCCTGAGATGTTTCGCCTGAGCTTCAAAACCAGCAGCGGCAAGTCCCCCGCAAGGAACGGACACCGTTTAGGTTAACATTGGCCAGGGGCTGAAGAACCCCTTCCGAGGGGCACTCAGCTTTCGAGCCCGGGTCTTCGGAGACCGAAAAGCAATGCTTAAGATTCCGCTTCCTGCCGCTTCCTCGCAGGTGTTCCAAAGACGAGCGGATGGCTCTGTGGATTTTTACAGGGATTGGAACACGTACAAGAGTGGATTCGGGAGCCAACTGACAGAATTCTGGCTGGGAAATGACAATCTGCACCTCTTGACCTCTTCTGGTAAATCGCTCTTCTTCACACTTCCCTCCTGTCGTTTCACGGCTGTGGGTGCATGTTTGCCACCCCGATACTCCTCACACACCTGCTGAGGTTCCAGAATGGTGAACAAGAAAGGCTAAAAAGACTGGGACTCCCTCACTAAAGCATATTTCAAACGCGGCGTTTTAAATGGTTAAAGCAGAATGCCAATAGAAGCCGGAGCTGGTCTGTCGCGAAAGGTGTGTGGAGCCGGAGCCGGAGCCAGAAGCAGCGCCTCATCTGCCTGTTCGCCAGAGGCAGGGAGCGCCGCATAAAGGGGGCCCCTGGTCTGAGGGCGCCCCCCCCCCCATGACCTCAGTGGCTGGGCAGAAGGATAAGCCTCTGTGGCCTCGCAGCCTCCTGGAATTACCCCGTCTCTGTGGAAGGCGAGGCAGCATCTGGCGGTGGTCAGAGTCCTTGACCAGAACGGGAAGACCCCAGTCCCGTCCCCCACTCAGCCACGGAGCTCCCTGGGCAGCTTCAGGCCAGTCAGTCAGTCTTCTCCTCTTTCTCAGCCCAACTGTCCTCAGTCGTTGCAGATAAAATACCGAGTCAGAGCCACATCCCGCGCCCCACAAGTCCCTTGGACCAAGAGCTGAGCAAACCTCGGGGAACACGGAAGGACCATGACCCACAGTCCGGTGGGCATCTCTCTCACAAGCCCCACTGAACAGCATACGAATTTGCACAGGAGCAAAACAAGAACCCACAGCGGTTGTGTGAAGTGGACCAGCCGTTGTTCCGTTCGGGAGAGCAGGAACCCTCGGTCTGCTTCTCGGACGGATGGCTGTGGTATCACGGGCTTTGAATATAAAAATACTTTTTCTCTCTCCCATGTTCTGGGCAGGACAGAACGAACTGCGCATCGACCTCACTGATTTTGATAACAGACAGGCGTTTGCCGAATATGACTCTTTCAAGGTTTTGGGAGAAGAGGACCAGTACAGGCTGGTTCTTGGGCAATTCACCAAAGGCACCGCAGGTACCTCTTCGGGTATTTCCATGCCTTTCTGTGGCAGCTGGGGTGAGGGACCCGCCGCACCCCCAGAACGCAACACGTCTCTGGGAGAAGCGAGGAGAAGCTTCCCGCAGCTCCTTTCCCCCCAGCTCAGAACGGCTGTGCTACCTGGAGGAGGAATGCCATGGGGTAGCGGCCCCGGGGCTGCAGCGCTGACGCTCTTCCTCGTTTGGGTAGCAGGGGTGCCAGGGTCCTCTGCCAGCCCCTCAGACTTCCCTGTGCCCTCGTGGGCAAGCGCACTGTCCGTGCGGCAGCGCATGGACCGCTCGTGCCAGCCCAGGTGTTTGTGGGGCTTCGCCTCAGGCCGGCGACTCCGGCCGTGAGCATCACAGAGGACCTGCCCTGGGGCCAAGGAGCAGGGCTTCTGCCGGGTGCTGAAAGGCAGCGGCACCACCGTCCCGCACCTGCCCCGGGCCTTGTCGGGGCCACATCACCCGCTGGCTACTCCTACGCTGGGTACTGGAACGCCCGTTGGGATGCTGGGGGAACATAATGGTGCCCGTTGGGGGCTGGAGAAGACCCGGGGCCTCGGCGAGTTTCAGGTTCGCTTAAATTTGCCTCCTCTGGGAAGCCGTTGCTCGGTTCCTCAGAGGCGAGCCTGCCCTCAGCTGCATCTTTGCACTCCTCTTCTCAGGCGATTCTTTGTCCGCGCACAAAGACATGCCTTTCTCCACCAAAGACCGCCAGCAGGACCCCAAGAACAAGCGATGCGCGGAGACATACAGAGGCGCCTGGTGGTACAACGACTGCCACACCGCCAGCCTCAACGGCCGGTACTGGCAGGGGCCTCACAACTCCTTCGCCGATGGAGTGAACTGGAAAAGCGGCAAAGGCTACTGGTATTCCTACAAGCGCTCGGAGATGAAATTCAGGCCGCGGGATTGAGTGAGGAGAGAGCGGCCGAGTCCCACGGCAGCAGCGCTTAGCTGGATGCTCCCGCACACGCTCTTCTTCCATCGTGGCTCAATGGAGGGCTTGCCCCCCCGCCCCAATGTGTGGTTGGACTCCCAGGTCCCATCATCCACAGACAACATGGCTGGCCACCAGGGTGGATGGAACTGGAAGTCCAGCAACTTCTGGACTTCTGCTGCAGTGGTGCACCTCCTGCCGCGCTGGCGATTGTGGTCTCCCTGGTGCTGCCCGTCGCCAGTGTGGTGGCCCGATGGGATGCGGAGTCCTGTAACACTGGTAGGGGCAGAGATGGTCTCCTTCCACAGCGAAGACGTTCTCGGCTCAGCCCTTGGTGAGGCAGCACCCAACTGCACCACCAACCCGAGGCGGCCCTTCACCCCCCACTCAGGGGCGCCAAGTCTCCCCTGGAGGTGCTCTCCTTCGGATCACACCAGCGAAGACCATCCTGACGACCTGTGCCACCCCGCTTCCTTGCAGCACGGGGGCGGGGGGGAGGCGGATTGCCTAGCACGGTCTCCCCAAAGCCCCAGCCAGACTGGCATCTCTTGGGCCAGCGAGACGCACAGCCTTCTCCAGGAGCCCAGCCTCACCCCCAGCCCAGCACAAACACACGAGTTTAATAAAAATAAAATTAGGCTTTGCTTTTTTTTTTAATCTCAGCATGACTGTGCAAGAATAAATTAACAAAAGCAAACAATTCCAAGGGTGACTCTGGGGGGATTTGCGTCGGAGCCCCCGAGCCTCTCGGGACACGGGGCGGGGATGCCTGCGGGAGGGCCCGGGCGTGTGGGGCGGCTTCCAACAGCGCGGCCGCTTCGCCCAACGCATCACGAACGCCCGGGACTCTGCGTCACACGAGGAGGCGGGTGCCGCCTGCATGGCTTCACAAGCGGGCGCTGGCCTGCTCATGGAAGAGGAACGTAAGGGGGGCGCACGGTCTCAAGGGCCCCCAAGATGTGCGCAGTGCATCGGAGGGCCGGCGGCACCCCCGCCCGAGCACGGCTGCCCGCACAGTCTTGCCCTCCCGGTGAAACTTGGTCAGAGGGGATGGGGGAAATCTCTGCTAGAGATCTTGTAGAACAGCTGCCAACCAGAGACGACCAGCCTGGCGGGCTGCGGATGATGGGAGCTGTAGTCCAGCCTATCCAGAGGCTCCGGTTTAGGGAAGGCCATGTGGGAGCTGGGCTGGCACACACTTAAGGCTGCGAAGGGCCAGGAACCGGCGTCTCAGGCTAGCCACCCCACGGGTCCCACCCTGCCGACCGGCCCCATCGTCCTCATCTGGCAGGAGCCCACCCAGAGAGCAGGCCCTGATGGGGCCGGAAGCAGCCAGGCCCGACCAGCAGCCCATGGGGGAAGCTCCCGTCACCTTCCCGGAGCAGGCCTGCCGCCGTTTCCCACCCTTCCTTCTATCTTTGAATTACCAGGACAACAAAACTGCCGAGGAAGAAAAGTTGGGCAAACTGCACAAGGTTGCGGTGTGTGTGTGTGTGTGTGTGTGGAGGGGGCAGTGCTGGGATCCCCCTGCCGGGAAGGAGCCCTGGCCGGGGGCCACAAAGCTCGCAAGAGGTGGCCGGCCCTCAAGAGGTGCTGCCGCAGCTCAGCCGCAGAAGCAAGCCAAGGCGGAAGCGACACACAGCAGCTCAGCCGCCCACGTGCGTGTAGCCAGTGGAGTGCTGACCCAGTGCGGTCTTCCCGAAAGTAAAAACTTCCGGGCACGAGCAAGCGAGCACAAGTGCCCCACACGCCCCGCGAGGGACGTGGCGCGTTCAGCTTGAGTTTCAGGGTTTGATCCGCATTCAGAACGGACGGCCATCTTCACTGGAGTTTCTTTCGAAGATCGGATCACCATCGCCCTGTGACCGCCCCGCCTGCGCAGGTCGTCCTGTGCTGCCTGGTGCTTCCCTCCTCTTCCTGTGGTCGCCCCATGGAAGGGAGGCCAAACCACTCCCCCGGCACCGGCCCCGCCACCGAGACTGCAGCGGCTTCTAGGTTCGGACCCCCGCTTCGCTCCCCACCGCCGTGCCCGACTCAGCCACCGAAACCTAACCGAGAGCTCATCCAAGACAGCAGAACTGGGTCTTCCAAGCTTACAGGAGAACCTTTCTTTCCTTTACGTTTCCTCCTTGCAGAGGAAATGGGAAAACCTGCCGCTTCACCAGACCGAAATGTTTCGGGAGAAGCTGCACGCGTCCTCAGAGGAAGACCACGCCAGCCGCAGGGCACGCCCTCAGGGTCGGACGCCATCTGTCCAGCCGCGGGAGCCTCACGAGTTGCTTCGGACCTCCTCGTATTCCTTCGGCATCCAGGACAACTTGACGTTCTGGATCTCGTGGGGGATGCCGATTTTGTAATCCCAGCAGTACTCGGGGGACAGCAGCTTGGTCGGCTTGTGGAGGAGGAAGTATTTGTTCAGGTGGCTCTCGTCGTGCCACACGGCCTCCACGTTCTGCTCCTTGTCCCGCTGGATGCCCTCAAAGCACTGCCTGCTGAGGTTCAGGATGTGCATCGGGGTGCCCCCAAATGCGGCCCCGTGGTAATAGTAGTCGCCCTCCTCATAGGGGATGTAGGCGGCCGAGGCGGGGTCCCTCTCGTACGTGAACGCGGCCTTGTCCGCCTTGTAGAACCAGGCCTGGAGCTGGGCCACGGACTCATCCAGGGCCTCCACGCCGTAGTTGCTCTGGAAGACCTGGTCGACGTCCATGCAGAAGAGGAAGTCCACCTCGTGCTGCGCGTGGCTCTCGACCAGGTCCCCGATGACCCTCATCCGCGTCATGCTGATGTCCTGCCACCGCTTCTCCCGCCTCACGTAGAAGGTCTTCAGCGTCCGAAGCGGGCCCAGCCTGACCCGCGGGACTTTGGAGAGGTCGTCCACCATGACGTAGAGGATGACTTTGTGTCCGGCCATGAAGAAGGTGTCGGCAGAGGTCAAGAAGTGCTGCAAGTATTTGTCCAGGTACCTCGAGAGGGAAGGGGGAAGAGAGCAGATGCAGAGGCACAAGCCTCTGTGGGGAGACCCACCCGGCCCAGGATGGGATCAAAGCCCCCCGCCGCTTGTCTGTGGGCCCCCCTCGCCACGCGTGGGCCAACGCACTGCCAGGAGGCCGCCACGGGGCCTTCAAGCCACGCCGTTGGGGCTCCATCCTCAGATTTCACAGGCGGGGGCCCACTGCGCGGTGGGGCCGGCTGGGAAACCAGCAGTGGATTCAAACCGGCGTGGATTGGGATGGTTCTGACCCGTGGCTTATGCAGCACACCGGCCACGCCTGCTTGCACGGACTTACGGGCATTTTTTCATGCGGAGGGGAGAGCCGCCTCTGCCGTAAGCTTACCCAGAAGCAACCCCCCAAGCATGGCACGACTTCCTCGGGAATAAACCGTGCTCTGGCCTGGGACTGTGTGTGGCACTTACTTCCCGATGGCAAAAACCGTCAGGCCGATGGTGACGCCCTGCTCCTTGTAGTAGTTGTCCAAGACTGATTTCCGGAACGTGCCATCCCATATGATTGGGGCTGCCCAGGAGGTCAGCGTGGGGACATCTGTCCGTGCACTGCAAAGGGGGGGGGGGGGATACAGGTAGCCAGGTGCAACAGGGATGAAAGCCCAGTGGCAGGTGGGGGGTCCACTGCCCACACAGCCCCCGCTTCCTCCAGCAGCTACTTCTGTTACGGTTCAGCACAAACGTTTTCGAAGAAGCCAGCAAAGGCAGCAAACACAACGGCAAACACAACAGCATCTAGCAGGAGACGGAAACATCAAGGCTCAGCCCGGGCTGAAATCTGAAAAGCCTCCGAGAAGGATCACCTCCACATCTGCCTGGCGATGGAGGAAAGAGCTGGGCGGGCACCGAACAAACCCCCCCGCAGATGCATGGCCAGGCGCCATGTGGCGTGGTGGTTTGAGTGCTGGGCCCGGGTTCAAATCCCTCCATACGGCCATCCAGTTCGTTGGGTGATCCTGGACCTTCAGCTGCTGGAGCAGTTGCAACAGCAGGAAACCCTCATCCCGAGACTCCCGACTCCCGGCACGGTGCCGTGCCCAGCATCCCCAGCAGGTGGCGCCACCAGATCCTGTGATCCAGGCAGCAGCCTTGCCGGCCGTGTGAGAAACTTGGTGCTGCCCAGAATTTACGCAGCTCACTCCTTGCAGAGCTGAACGCGAGCCGTGCACAAAGTTCAGGCCTTCCTTTGGAGCATCGGTGCAGCTTGCAGAACCAAAGCGACGCATTTCAAAACCATGCCCGAAATACGGCATTCCTCTGAAAAATGCACACACACTCACTTTAATCCATGGGATGAAAATGTGCACATGTCAAAACTTGTGTGCAAACATGCTTTAACTAACAAGAGAAAAACACATGTTTAAAAAGACGCATGCATGCATTTGGGGAAATGTGCATGGCAAACCCACGCACAACTTTCATGCCAGAAAGGAGAAACGAACTTTGCAAACCGATCCGGACCCGAGTCAGAATGAGTTTCAGCAGGCACAGCTCCTGCTGATTCTCACAACCCTGCTTTATCTGAGCTGTGCTCGATTCTCTCCGAAGGCAGGAGGGTCTGAGCTGGGCGATTCCAGAGCATCGATACGATTCAACAAAGCGCGAGCAGTTCTGCTGAGTTTGTGGATCTGTTTTCGGAGCGCTGCACCAGGGCAGAACACGCACGCGGACACAGAATTGGGCAGGAGCTCAGGAAATCCCCTTGCACTTCTTGCTTGCCAAAACATGCCTCTTGCAGCATTTAAACTACCTTGCAGTGCTTGTGCCGACCAGATGCACCTCTCCAGGTTTGCGGGCAGGGATCTCAGCACTACCTGGGGGCTGGATGTGAACCAGAGTATGTGCTCAACCAAGAGATGGCTTTTCCCCCCAAAATGCAATATGATTCCAGGCCTCCTGGTGCTGAATTAAAGGGCTGAATTACACAGGCCCGAGTCAGGCTGCCGGACCACCCAACTCGGCATTGTCAAGGCTGACCAGCACCCGGCGCGCCGGGTTTCAGGTTCAAATCCTTCCAGCCACCCTGCGGATGCCGGGGATCCAAGCCACGAGCTTCCGAGCAAGCAAAGCGGGCTCTCCTGCTGAGCTTGGGCCCAGTCCAACGGGAAGCCCGGCTCAGTCTGCAGCAACGCAGGTGCAGGGGGACTTTCGAGAGGCTCAGGGCAGGAAAGGTGACGCACCTCCCCAGTCCAGCTCCCTCCCCTTGCAGGCCCCCGTGGGGGCCCACCGGGCAAGCCACAGGCGTCTGGGCCCAGCACGGCCTCTGGCCACACCCGCACGGATGCTCCCTGCCAGAGCGGGGGTCTGAGGCGCTGCTGTGCTCGAGTGGCTGCCTGGCAGGGCCACACGGCCCCTTCGTCTCACCACGCTAACTGGAGCCACATGTCCCGAAAACCTTTTCAAGATGCAGCGCTGAAAGCAAAACAAAGGGCAAAGCCATTTTCCAGCTCTGCAGACCTGCATTTAATTTTCGGAAGCTATTTTCAGCCCGCTTGCGTTCCTGGAGAAGCAAGCGCACGCAACCGCCCCCGCACGGGGGAAGCGGCTCCTCCGAGCACGGGCCTGCTCGTCCGGTCCGTGAAAGGGAGGGGGACGGGAGCCCCCGCTGGGGTGCACCTGAGCACAGGACAGAACAAGGCTGGCCGAGTCTGGCACAAAGCTCTTGCTTCACCTTCCAGGCACAGAAAACTCTTCCGACGTGACCTTCCTCCTCCTCCGGCTGCGCCCCCCATCGGCCCTGGCTGGGCTACACCTGGCTGCCGCCTCCCTGCCTCTCTGCCCTGCCCACCCCAGAATGCAGCTCTTGGAAATGCCTCTGTCATGGGACTAGGCCCTTGGATGGAAGCCGTCCTCCCTTCCCTGGTTTGGCAGTCCTGTGGGCTCGCTAGAGGACCTTGCTGGACCAGGGTGAGCCAGCAAATCAGGTGGTCAGAAGCCCTCTGATGTTCTTGAGGGATAGAACAGGCCACGTCCCGAGGAAAAGCCATGGGAAAACAGCGGGCAGGCCAGCTGCTAAGCCCGGGACCCCCTCCCGGCTGACCAGCAGGAGCAGCTCCTCGGGCAGCGTCCCATGCGGAGGGTTGGGCAAGGACCCCAGTCTTGCAAGAGGCTGCGAGGCAACCTTTATCTCGTGTGTCTCCTGCTCAGGCTTTTCCGGCTGCCCCAGCCTGGCGTCGCAGGCGGCCCCGCGGAGCCTTCCCAGGCCAAGATCGCTGATCGCCCGAGCTTTCACCATGGTGAGTCCGATGAGCCCGACCCGGCCTCAGTCTTTGCTGCACTGTCCTTTGGCGCCAGGCGGTAATTTCTCGCTGGCTCGCTAGGAATGCAACCCCCTGGGTCAGTTCACCAGAAGTTAGTGCCCTGCCTGAAACACGGGTGTGGCGACCTGGCCAGAGCGGCCTCTTTCCCAAGGGCATTTGCACCTAATTTAATCAGGCGGTTGAAACAGGCTTCACTGCAGAGAAAGGGATTGCTTAACATTTAATTTTAGCCTTGTACGTTTTACTTTGGTTTGGTTTGGTGACATTTTTATGAAGGCTGGGAATGGGTACTGGGGAATTGTTGTCATTAATTTTCATTTGCTGGCTCTGAATTATTAGCCAGCCCTCTAAATCCACATTTCAGTTGCCTGTTTTTACTTTGGCGACATCCTGGATATGTTATTTCTGGTGGATTGCAATGACGATGGGCTATAAACAACGAAAGCAGGCTGGGGGGGGGGGGGGGCCTCTTAAGCCACTGCCCCCCTCCATGAGATGGGGAAATGGAGCTGGGGAAGGATGTATAGCACGGACTGAGCAGGAGGGCTAAGACATGGGGGGCATGAAGGGGTTGAAAAACTGCACGTTTTCTGGCCCACGAGCCCATGCACTCGACCATGGCACCAGCAGGTGGAACTGGGTGAGCTTCCCACACCTAGATTTTAAATGCATTTCTTACCGTGGATCAAACCAGTCCGTCAGTGCCAGCCCGCTGGGTTCTTTGTTGGCGTGTTTTTGCCTGTGACAGAAGAGATGACGAGAAGCTGAGCATCTGGCCCAGGCGGCTCCAGTTCACTCCCTCTTTAACCCAGTGGCTTCCAGTAAGGTCTACTCATCCTTAGGTCCTGCCACAGCTGCACCTTAGTTAGTAGCTTCCTTCTCATCCATCTGCTCCTAGTTTTCTTTTCTCATACTGACACAATGCCTGTTTTATTCCTTATGCTGACTGAGCACAAGCCACTTCAGGAAGACTCAGCTGGTGTTCACCCCACAGGTGAACAGGAAACTGCTAGGTAGCTGCTTTAAAATGAAAGCGGCAAGAAGGAAGCTACCAATTATAAGTGCAGGAGCACCGAAACCTCGGCACGGGCAGGCAGCCCAGTGCTGCAATTGTGGGTTAGAACACACGCACACACATCTCCAAGTAGCTCTGGAAAGCAGGCAGGAGGAGCGCACTGGAAAGGCTGCTGGCAGTATCAGGGGACCTCGTAGGCAAGGGCTGGTGCCCTGCCCCACGGCCCCGGCCCCCAGAGGAGGGGTGTGCGCTGTGCCTCTCCCCGATCTCGCGGGAACTTCCACAACAGCATCCGTGAGCTCCGCTGCAGGCTCCGTGGGCTCCGGAGCACCCTCCCCCAGAATCCCTTGGTGGTCCAGTGTCTAAAAGCTGGCACATGGGAAGGGTCCCGCCGAACGTATCTGGAGCAGCACAGCAGAACCACCCGGCCAGGAGCCCGATGTGCAGACCAACTCTCGTGTGCTGAATGAGGACGGGATGTGCCGGCGGTTCACGCACCCCCCGCCCCGCGTGCCCATTGTGGCCACTCCACACGGGCCGGCAAGCGCTGCACCGCCACTTGCCACGGTCCTCTCACCGTGTGTTGAGCCTCTGGGGAGTCATCAGCCACTGCTCTGTTTGGTTTTTCGGCTCCGGGATCTTTAGACTCCTGCACACAAAGGAGAAATTGCTGGCTGAGCGATCCTGGACACCAGGGGCACCGCGCGTCCCGGCCCAAGACCGTCTCCCAAAGCCCAGAGGGTGCGCTGATGCCTGCGGAAGAGGAGTGCAGCCAGGGAGGGGAAGGTGCCGCTTCCCGGCCCCCCATGCTGGGTCACATGTGGCCCCCTGGCCTTTCCTGCATCCCTGGCGTGGCAAACCAGCGTAGGAGAAAACACACCCGCCAGTGGGGTCGATGGACGATTTCCCTTTGTGCTTAACTGCGTGAAGTGCGAAGGAGGGGAAGAGGACTGCCTGGTGTGGAAGAGGCGGGAAAGGAGGGCAGGACTCTGAGACCCAGCGCGGTGGCAGCTCCTCCTGGGATCGGCAAGTCAGGCGGGGACTCCCCGCAGGAAGCGCGGCCGAGTGATGCAATCAGTGACTTGGGGAAGTTTCTACATGCTCGGTGACACAGCGTCGGGCGCTGCTGAACAGCATTCCCCAGACACGCTGCAGGATGTCCAGGCCTCCGACTCATGGCAACACGTCCCCCAAACTTGTGCCAGACTTGGGGCAAAGCAAGACTGCCCCTGAGTCAGAGGCCGGAGGCTTCTCGTCGTGGCCCCGCCGCTGTAAATTGGCCATTTCTTTTGGCATTGCAAGCTGGGGGGGGGGGGGGGGGGCGTTGCGGATCGGCAGGGGCTACATTCATTCTACGGGCCGGGTGTTGCCCAGCCCTGCCTGGGGAGATTCCTACCTTGCCTTCTGAGCAAACGACCCCCAAGGTGGGTCACACAAGATTGTGAAAGGACAAGCGCACCATCTCGCACGACCAGCACAACTCGGCCCATCGGGAGCGACCACCTCGGACCCTCCAGAACTTCTTACCCACAACTCTGAAACTGGCTGACTATTGGCTGACGATTCCTATCATGATCAATAACTGAATCTCGCGCTATACCATCCGATCGATCGCAGGCCAGCATTTCGCAACACTTCAAAACGATGTGGCCCACACAGACAATGCAGCACAGCATACAAGTTTTTCAGTGTGCAAAATGCAATTTAAGCAGCTAAAATAATTTCAGTACAGAGGAGACCCGGACAAGCAGCTGAAGTGAGTGCCCCATTCGGCCACTAAATACCGAAGGTCTGGCCCTGTGCCATGTCTAGTTGGGGAAGACTAGTGTAACTGTTTAACTCGCCAACTTAGTTTTCAGTAGAAGATTTGGGATTCCCTCCACAAAAGGCGATGCCAAACCCCATCATTAATAATTGCAGTGGATGAGCTGGGAATATATCAAGGATGATGCCTCCCGGCGATTAATTATTGAACCCCACAAAGGCAAGCTGCACCCCGAGTGCTCGTCTGCGACCTGCTGGCACGGGAAACGCAAACCCGGCAGCCCGCAAGCCAGCGGCCCTCCTTGCCTGCAGGCCGCCCAGAGGCCAAGGCAGCAGGGAGACTTACCCATAGCTGTACATCCAGAACAGGGCTCGGTCCCTGCCAAGACAGAAATGAGACAGCAGCAAGACAGGATCAGAAGCCACTCGCCGCCTTCATGCCGGGTCGGCCTCACTTTTCCCAGGCCCCGCTTCCCCCTCCCACTTCTCTTCTCCGTTAAATTCCTAGCCGCGTGTTTGTGTGCAAGAGGCAGAGTCAATTCAGCGGGGGGGGGGGGGAATTGCAGCTGCAGGGTCAGGGCGAGAGCTGCCCTGGGATCCACTCCCCCTCGATCACAGATGTGACAAGGCAGCTTCGGAAACACCGCGCAGATGTGTCCTGTGGGAAAGCTCCCGGCCAGAAAGGGGAGGGCGGGATCCTAGCGAAGGCTGCAGTTTGATAGGAAAACTTAGCCTCCCCCGCTTTGCCCACACATCACAGTAAAACTTGGAAAACTTTCCATGCTGCCAAAAGCAGCTTTTATTTGGCAGGGGCTGGATCTGCTGGCTCGAAATGTAGAAGTTCTAACAACGGTGCCCAAATCCACATGCACGCATGCAGGGAGTCTCCATCCTGAACTCCCTAAACTCGGCGAAGTCGCCACTGTCTTCCCGGATACGCAGCGGCTGAGGGGATGGCGCGCTGCACGCGGGCCAAAGGAAACGGCAAGAAGGCCGCCTCTCGAGCACAGCACCCAAGAAGCAAATCTGAAATTGGAACTTGAAATGCTTAATGGAAAACTTGCGTTCCGATGCCTTTGCACAGGACCTGTGAAAGCTGCGACTCCCGTGTGTTCTGCAGGTTCACAGACCGGACTCCCAACCTTGGAGGGGCTGGTGCAATTCTGCGTGTTCACAAACAGGCACCAGTGCAAGCAGCGACGGAGCTCATGCTCTCGTGTCCGTGTGCGTTTGCACGCCAGCAGAACGCTGGTGTGAACAAGCGGATCCCGTCCATGAGCAGGCCGGAGGGGGAAACGGGCTGTTAAACATGCCAAACACACATGGAACAGATCGGAGGAATCCAGAGGTTCCTCCCTTCGGCACATCTGGAGGGTGTCCGATTGCAGAGGCTGTCCTACCGGCTGTTTTCCCGGCACCCGCGGAGGGGAGGGAACGTTAGAATAGCTTTATCAGGGGATTAAGCAAATCCATAAAAAACAAGGCTGCGGCAACTGCCAGGACAGCTGCTCCTCTTTGGGGCGTGAACGGCACCGAAGGCTGTCTTGTTTTGTGGGGGGGGGGAATCCAGTGGGCCGTGGCAGGAACAGCTCGCTGGATTGCACAGGACTTTGGCCTGTTCCCATAACGCTCTGAAGTAAAACCCATGTTTGCTTAGATCAGCCCATTTCCCTGCTGCAAGAATGCGACATTTGGAAGGAAGGGCAGAGTGCCATGAACCCTCGTCTTTCTTACCTGTCCAGGTAAGCGAAAACCACCAGTGATAATAGGGCGAGGAAAGAAACACATAACAGAATTGTCTTGCCTAGAGAGAGAGCCATCCTGAATGAAAAGAAAAGGGGGGAAGGGTTGAAATGTATAAGGATAATGTTACGGAACAGTGGCACGAAAATCAAATTTAGAGAGAAGCAAAGGTTTACATCCCAGTAAGTGTGCCTCAAAGCCAAAAGCGCCTTTGCATAAGACCCGATTCCCTGCCTACATTTTGTCCACTAATCACACATATCTCTGGCCGTCTTTCCTTCTCCGCGGTGGCATCCACAGCCCTCCTCTCCAGGTCATCCTCACAACAGCCTTGCGGGGTAGGCCGGGCTTAGCATCTGTGACTGGCCTCAAGTCACTCAGGAGCTGCCCAGTCCAGCATGCTGGCTCGCTCTCCTAAGCGGTGGGGGGAATTCTCAGTTGCCTGCTTAAGCA